GTGCAGGAGAGGAAGATCCTCAATGAGATGGATAGATTCTGTGAGTGGAGTGGTGGGAATGAATGTGTTTGAGACAGCGAGGTTGGCACAGGATAGAACGGTGTTTAGGGCTCTTGTACATAGGGTCACTATATAGTGACTCAATGGCACAAAACAACACCACCACAACTATCAGAGCTCCTTTCTCAGGGGGTTTTTTATTGGGTTTTTTTGTTGTTGTTGTTTTAAAATTTCATTCCCTCATCTGTAAAAGTTGTATACATACCCCAAATGATTTTTTGATGATTAAATGAAGCAAAGCATGTGAAGTGTTCATAAGTATGCTTAGCCTAAAGTTTCCTCAGATTTTATCTATTTTTATTACACAGGAAATACAGCAGATAGTGTGCCACAAAGAGTTGAGATTTATGGAAATAAGATTGTAAAGTAATAACATGCAGTACTGTCAAAGTAAGGTGGGAGGGGGAGGATAAATTCACATGTAAGTAACTGAATCTCATCATTATTCCTACCTCACTGGTGATAAAATATAAACCATCTACTATGCATAAAGCAAAATTATTTGGAATTTTAAGAATTACAATTGCCAGGACATGACTTCTACTCTTAAATGGCCTAAAATATAAGGTGAAAGTTAGTATGCTTATATAAAATAAGTAACGATAATAAAGTAATGGTAGGAAGTACTAGAAAGATGATTAGTAAATATTGAGCTAGAAAACCTGAGAGAAAAGTAATTTACAGGTGGATCAAGGAAAGCTTCAAAGAAACGTCTTTGTTTCCTCTGAACCTTAATAGATTGACTGCATACCTTACTGATACCTCTCTCCCTCCACCACTCCCTTTTCTACAGTATTGTATCTTGTATGGGCGTTTATTCCTGAGTCGTGGCTAAACTCCTTAGGCTTAACCTACTGGCCTCAAAAGTAAGTTGAATATCTTTATTAAAAGAAAATGTCCTTAATACTACCTAAGTTTTGTTAAGATATATGAATAGCAGTGTAGAAATTGGAGACATTTTAAAAAGTCATTAATGGACAGATGCATGCACATCTATCTACATAGAGCACACAGCGTGCACAGTCATGAACTCACACACAGCACCCAGAATGATCCTAAGGACAAAGGGAAGTTTTTCCAATGGGCCACCACTCCGCGTTTTTCCATGTAATCCTAACCCAATTTCGAGAAAAGTGTGCAGAATTGTTCCTGAAGAATTGGCTTTACAAACTTAAGCTTCTACTCTCTGAAAAGTGAGATGAATGTACTTGGTAGACTAATTTGTCACTGAAGAGTAAAGAGCCTTTCAACTCTCAAAATTTCCAGGAAGACTGACCAAGAATAGATGTTGTAAAAAAATGAAAGATGCTAGTGGGAGCTCTGGTAGCTCTTGGGGCTGTCAGTACCAGAACTCAACTTAACACCTGTATTCCAAGGCCTGAAAGAGAGCTAAGGTGGAGGCAGCACTGGAGATTGTTAACGCACAAGACAAAGGATGGAGGTGGCCAAAAATCTGAGTGCTTCCTCCTCTCATCTGTCTCTTTCCTTTCCTTCTCATGCTGTAAAGCTGCTGTGTAATTTAACTTGTAAATAATAAAGCTAAAGTGACTGTGGTAAAAAAAAAAAAAAGGAAGACAAATGAGTGGAACAGGAGGTTGCTTTAGCCAGTGCACCTTTACATCAAAACAAAAGCTACTTTGAATTCAGGATCCAGTACACAGGAATATGGGGCAACGGACTTGCAACCCAGAAAGTGAACATGAATCAGATTCCTCTGGCCCAAGATTTGAAGTCTAATGATGAGGAATGATGGAACCTTGTACAGCAACAATGAGGAGGAAAAACAGGCTGCCAGCAAATAGCCTTCCACAGGAAGGAGATGTGAGGGATATTACAGATGGCTGTGTAGAACTAAATGTATATTTGAATGGAAAAATAGGTATATCAGGGACTCTGTAGCCAGTTGTCTCCTCCACCTGGTTTTGAAAAAATACCATTTGAACAGTAGATTTTCTGAATGTATATGTTTTTCATAACTGCATTTCTGCACTGCTAAAGATGTTTACCATTTGAAAAAGCTTTACCTGAGCTATAGTTGAAAATATATTCTTAAATATATACTTGCTAATACTGTCTAAGAAAACACTGTATTGAGTATATCAAGAGAAAATTGTGACTTAAACTGCTGTTCTTTTGTGATGTGAAAATCCCCATTTGGGGCAGTTTATTTAATTCTCATTTAAATTAGCATTATTGGTTTAATTAGCAGTATTAAGTGGAAATCTACATATAGAGACTAAAAACGGAGTCTTTCTGACAAAAAGTATTTGTTTTAATAGAGATGTAGAGTTGAGTACTTTGTCATTCAGGAGCTAAGCCTAGAACTGTGTCAAGTCTTTGGTCCAGTATTCTTTTGTCTCTGTCTTGTTTTGGGGTTTTTTAGATTTTAATGAAAGTTTATAAAGAACTTGGATTTCCATTCATTCATTGTTGCACATTTTCCTCCCTGTCGCCCCTACCCCCCAGTTACCTTTTTTCTTTGGGGGAAAAAGTTCTTTCCTTGTTACACAGTCATCGTTCCCCGCCTCAGACCACTTTACTATGCAACTCTTATTCTGGACTCTTGTCATGACAATAATACCTTTTATACAGTGCTCTCCTTCTGTTTCAATGCTGTTTTCATTATTTATCCTCTCTTTTACTTTTCCTCCCAGCCCACATATCAGTCTTGTCTGTAACAGTGGCATTATATAGTATTTGTCTTTTTTGTGGCTGAGATATTTCACTCAGCAAAATGTTCTCCATGGTCACCCATTTTGTAGATATTTCATGAGTTCTTTGTTTTTCAGTGCTGCATAATATTCCATTGTCTGACTATACCACAGCTTTTCTATTCATTCATTTGTTGATGGGCACTTGGACTCTTTCCAACTCTTTGCAGTTGTGAACAAAGCAGCAATTAACATGGGTGTACACTCAGTCTCCAGATTATAACTCATGTACTACAGGTATTAGGAACCAATCCCACCTCAAAACCCATTCAAATTGGAGGTAATACATTGGTCCATAATAGCAAACAGGCACAATTTCGCAGCACATCAAACATTATTACTATATTGTTATATTACAGATATGTTCATGTATCTAGAAACATTTCTTTAATGTTTTTGATGCATATAAAGGTTCAATATATTTGTATGCAGACACTAAGACAAACATGACTAATTGATACTAGGTTTAAACCTTTACCTAATTATATCTACTTAGATACAAATTTGGTTTAAAGATAGGTTTAGAAGAGGAACTCATTTATAATCTGAGGACTGCCTGTTTACCCAGTATGTTTACTATAAAGTGTACCACATTTCTTAACATTTAAATGGCCTATTTTGTTTGTATAATATCATTGTTTTTCATTTGCTTTGTGAAAAAGAAAGTATGTTTTGGTAATTTTGGGAGCATTTTGTTGAAGTACCTTATGCTGTGTTACTTCAGTACCATAGTAAGTATTACTGGATTAGCACTATAGTGTATACACTGCCAGACAGAACCATATGATCAGAATTTAAACTTCTATTTAAATGAGATTGTCCTTTTCTGGACTAATTTATTTAAATGTGTTTTTTTTCTGTAATGGATAATACAGAAGCGATTAAGAAATAATCTCAACTATCTTTTTAAAAAGTCATTAATGGTGACACACTAGAGAAACTGGGAATACCCTGCCTTCAACAAGTGACCAAAGTTAGTATTGCTAGTAGTAAATCATAGTGAGGTCACACGCAGTATGATGTGATGAAAGGAGCCTTTCAAATCCATGGTGGTCATCTTAAAAATCCATAACCCTAGTCTAATCATGAGAAAGCAAGAGACACACTAAAATTTAATTTAGGACATTTTATAAAATACCTATGTGTCAGGACCATGGATGGAAAGACAGAGAAATTGTCATAGATAAAATTAGTAAAAGTTGTTGAATGCAGTATCTTAACCTGAACTGGCTCTAGAACAGAAAAATGACAGTGAAAAGACTGATAAAAATCTGCATTTAACAGTGTTATACCAGTGTTAAGTGCACTTTTGAATGTACCATAAAAATGTGAGATATTCATGTTTGGGGAAGCTGGTGAAGACTGTATGGCCAGTCTCTTGTGTTATCTTTGTAGCTATCCATTAAATCTTCAAAAAAAAATGCCTTTTTGAAAATAACTTAAAAATAAAATTGGAGAGAAAAGTGAAAGAAATGGTTTATTTCCCCTATACTCTTTATGTGAAAGTTCCTGGAGAATATGATCCATGAAAATAGGGATAAAGCGAAAACTTTTGGTCAACTTGATTCCTTTGCTGCATGTGATTATGTTGGTTTTTTTTGGTTAAAACATGGCTAAAAGCTTATTAAGTAAGTGGAAAAGGAAAATGCCTGCTGAAAAGAGGAAAAAGAATGCACCAAAGGAGCTCAGCTGGCTTGAAAGTTTTCTCAAAGTAGATGGTGATGTTGTAATGAATGACATTCAAGGGATTGCAACTGTTGTGGTGCCCAAACATTACCAAGAGAAAATGCAGTGTGATACGAATGATGAAAAAGATGACATGAAAATGGAAGCTGACATTAAGAGAAACAAAAAGAGCCTTCTAGACCATGGACCGTACCCAATTTGGATGAACCAGAGGCAGAGGAAAAGGCTGAAAGCAAAGAGAAAAAGGAAAAGGAAAAAACAAATCCAAAGCAGCAAAGGCAGCAAAAGGTTTAGCCTGGTAGACTCTGAAGGACTTTTAAAAAGCACCACATGCAGCAGGTGCTTGGTTAAAGTATGTATATGGATTTCAGGTTCCACTAGATCAGAACTATTTATTTCTGAATCCTAACTGGTCTTTGATTTCAAGCCCAGCATAGCTCAAGTTTGGTTTGGGAACTTGAATAAGATATTTTCTTTGGTGAATAAAAAAAGCTGTAGTGATACTTTAATTGGTTTTCTCTGTAGTATCCAGGTGATACTACCCATCACATTTATATCAACTATTAATCTAACTAGTTGATACTTGTTACAGGATGATGTCTGTAATTTGTAAATGTAAAACAAGTGATGTTATGAAAAAAATTAACTCATATTTATGCAAAGTAAACAATTTAAAAATAGTATCTTTGGATCCTCTAAGTCATGCTTATTTGGAATTTGAATTTGGTTATAATTCAGAATAAAAGCTATTTTATGTAAAAGGAAGGAAGGGAGAGAGGGAGGGAGGGAGGAAGGAAGGAAAGAAGGAAGGAGAGAGATAAAGCAAGAAAGAAGATGGATAATTTAACCCAGAAAAGAGGCCAAGGGAGGAAGTTCTCGGACGTTGGCTCTGCAGCCCAAGAACATAAACAGGTTAGATGAGAGCGGGAGGAGCTCCAGGAGAGGTGCATGCGATGAAATATGACGAGCTGGAGCACTCCATGCACTTAACCATACTGCAAGACGTTTCAGAGTGATTTCCTCAGAAATTTTGAGGATAGGGTGCTGATTGGTATGTTCAAAACCAAGCAGACAAGACAAAAAGATGGAATTACTGATTATAGGAGAAACAAAATGTTTTACAGAAAAAGAAAATATAATTCACAGAATTGCTGAGTTACATAAGAATTATTTAGTCAGACAGTTTTTAAAAACTGCTGCAGGGGGAGGGGTGGGCAGGAAGAAAAATGCAACAATGAATGTATGGAAATCCAGAATCTCTAAACGTTCATTAAAATTAATTTTAAAAAAATAAGTTTTTTTAAAAAAAATACCCCAAAAACAAAAAACACAAAAAACTGCTGCAACAAAAAATTGTAATGGACATAAATGTGAGAGAACAGAACATGAAAGAACTGAATTCCTCATCTTCATAGTAGAATGCCAGGATAGTATTTCTGAAATTGAGAAAGTCAAGAGTAATAAGGGTATGATGGAGAAATGTTTAGGGAAATACTGGAAGTAGCAGCTAAGATACTAAAAGTATTTCTTTTTAGGGGACATAGGATAGGGATATGATGGGAACAAGTTTTCATTATAAGCCTTATAGAACTGTTCATCTATTATAAACTTATTATTTTAATAATGATTAACTTAAAAATTTACATTCATAGCTTTGTGACTCAGAATTATATCTGTTTAAGATGTCTGTCACCTACTGTAACATTCTCTTCTGTAGGTATTGGGCAGTTGCATTGCCTGTCTACCTCCTTATCACTATAGTGATTGGTTACATACTCTTATTTGGAATCAACATGATGAGCACCTCTCCACTTGACTCCATTCACACGATCACAGGTAAGTGAATGTGAAGTGCTGGGATGCAGAAGCCAAGAAGTGCAATCAAGAATAGAGTGCATAAGATGACATTTACTGGCATGGGAAAAAGAAACGCAAGTTATGTAAAAATATTTACGTGAAAGAAAGAGACTCTGATGGATATGCTATTTATATATTTTATATGTCAAGATTGGCGAACGATTTATCAACAATCTGCGTTATGCGGATGACACAACCCTGCTTGTTGAAACTGAAGAGGACCTGAAGCACCTGCTGCAGAGTGTCAAGGACTGCAGCCTACAATATGGATTGAGGCTCAATGTCAAGAAGACAAAG